GGCGCAGTGTTTGGTGCACGCGCCCCGTGTATGGAGGCTGTAGTCTTCCAAGTGGGCGGCCCAGGTTCGAGTGCGGCCTGTGGCTCCTTTCCCGCATGTCATTCCCTACTCTCTCTCTCTCTCCCTGGTTTCCGACTCTATCCCCTGTCCTGTCTCTCAATTAAAGGTACGAGAAGCCCAAAAATAAATCTTTAAAAAAAAAATTAAAAAAAAGGAGAAGAGAGTGCCACCTCCAGAAACATATTCAATAAAAATGAATGAGAAAAGGCCTTATCGCCTAAAAATGTGACCGCAGTGATACATGCTTCACATCAAATATGGAGACAAAATCCAAATAGTGTAACTCAAGGATAATAACTTCAGTTTGGGATGCTGAAATTGAAGCGTTGCCCATCAAATTGTGGAGGTATAGGACAGGTAAAGGAGACAGGAGAAAAGCAAGTGGATTGTTGATAGTTATTTGGTTACAGTAATAATGGGCAATAAAAAACTAAGATTAACTGCTTCTCTTATTTGTACGGACATATTCTGACACTTTTGTGATTATGACAGTAAATTTGGAGGAAAAAAAATTGTGCAACTGGGTATTTGTGGGAGTGATATTCATCTTCAAACAATCAGCTCTTCATGCAAATACAAAACAAGTGGTCCCTGAATTTAAATAGCCGTAGCACGTAGCCCTCTCAACCTGACACCTTCACTGAAAATATCATAAATCACAAAGGAGGATGGCTAAATTATGCTAAAGAGTGCTAACTGATTAGCATTTATGTGCTCACTTTCTCCTTTGAGCGCTGAGGCATAGCGGTGTGTTCCTCTGCCGACAGACAATACCATTAACCTTTGCAATTCAGGCTCTTCTGTGCGCTGGCAGGTTAGTGGAGGCAGTGACCCCAAAACTAGATGTTGCTATTGGAAGAACGTGGAGGAGGGGGAGGTAGGTGGAGATGAACAAATGCTCTTCATAGAAAAACAAACCACCTCATCTGAGATCTCAGAAGAGTTATAGATCTAATTTGCTTCACGCACAAGCTCATCTGATTAGACACAATAGAGATACTTTTAAGCATAAATCAGTGTGAATATACAGATTGGTGAATGTGAGACCGTGTGTGTGTGTGTGTGTGTGGATGCTAGACACCGTCTCCCCAGTGAGTCCCACTTAAAAGCATAAGAGCTGCTAATTAAAAAAAAAAAATAATACTCTAATCCATCTCTTATGAAAAGAGAAACAAAAGTTATATATAAATCCCTACTAGAAGCAATAAAGAAAATCAACTTCTAACATGCTTCAAGTTCATCAGCTTTCTACAACATCACATTTAAGCATAACGATAAAACAAACTTTTCATTACAATGTTTTGCTACAGTTGCATTCTGAGAGTGCAGTTATTTCCCATGTCAAGACAAATTCATTTAATCGCTGCTGGAACAAGTTTTTTTGTCATTTATTAGAGAGAGAAAAATAAAGTTAATAGCTGATAACTTTTTTTATTCAGCAAAAAATATAACCTGGCGGCAGCTTTTCAATTGTGACAATTGATTTATTTTATTTTGTTTACATAATTGCACTTGCAACCTTAGCTGTGTTCAAAGCATCTTTTTGTGATTGTCACATTGAACATTGAACAGTTGACAGAAGTGACAGATGAGTAACATGGACATGGAATAAGTAGCCTACTTTGTTCTTTTCCTCAAGCATAAAAGTAGTACCTCTAACAAGTTTTGCACTGTACTGAAAATTACATTTCGGATGGATTGATTTGTCACTTTGTTGTTGCATTTTGATAGTCTAATACACATGTTATTGATTTATCTATTTACATACTGCTGGATACCCTGTGAATGCCCACAGCATATAATAAAGATATTTAGACCAAAAGTTGATCAATCATATTTTGAAATATTAAACTGAATCTGAGAAGTAACTAGAAGCCAAACTAAAGATTTTTTAGAAGTTCAGTGGTGTAAGAAGTAGTTTTGCCTTTGAGATGAAGTGATGTCAGAGTAAAATACAGCAAATAGACAACTACTAGAGACTACTTTAAAACTGTACAGAAGTTATGTACTTAGTAACTAACACCCATTCTAAGCTAGTTATAGTTTATTAAGCTAATATAACATGTAAGAAGGGTGTTGTGAAACACTCAAGTATATACGGGATTTATGTTGCGTTGCTCTGTAAGGCAGTGGTTACTTTGTTACATCACCTGTTGTGTTGATGTGCGTTCCTTTGTGACGTATAGTTTAGTAGCGGTGCACTCTGCATGTGTTTGCTCTGGATGCAGGAAATACAATTTGACTCATGGTAAACTCCGGCATGTTAGGGATTATCATCCTCCAGTATTTCATTTTGGTCCAAAAAAAAAAAAAGGCTAGCATTGAAGACGAAAAAATGACAAGTCTGGACATGACGGGCAGTGCACACTGATGTTTGCTACAACAATGAAAGCCTACTATACACTGAGAGTGGGAGCAAATAGACAAATACCTGACAGTAAAAACAGCAATTTGCATGTGAGGTTATGTCTGATATACACTGACTGAAAATACCATTACAATTGTGAAATTGGCAGATAGCCATCATCCAGCGACGGAGAACTTGAATCCCTGTGTCTGTAAGGACGCTTAGAGAAAGCCAAATATATGCCCCTGGAGGTTTTTTGGGCATTTCTCTAACACATTTGATTTTTTAAATCACATGGTTACACAAAAACCCTACAACATTCAATAACCTCCTGCATGTCAAATTGATCTCTCTTACAACTATGATCAGTCATGATCAAATTTTACTCTTTCATGATTATGGGAGTTTCTTAACTGACAAAAGAAAGGCAAAAAATACAAAAAAGTACACAAACTGTATTTGCTTTCATTAAATCTTTTTCTTTTTTTCCTTTTAAACGAGTACGGTTTGCTCATATCGAAAGAAGACAAATGTATACCCCAAGATTGTCTTCATGCTGCTGAAGCCAAGACATTTTACTGAAATAAAAAACATTATATCAGGAAAGTTTTAGATCACAGGACTATATAAATAAGATTGTGAATTGTGGGTTTACTAAATACACTGGTACACACATACCTTTACTCTGCTGTGATTGCCTTACTGTTTCAAATAGTGACACCAAAGTCCTCCATTAAGTTAAGCCGAGTAAGCAACCCAGGAATACCAGTAACGATCAACATAAATAACTAAAATGATCCCTCAAAAAGGGGTAAATTAGACTGACTGTTACTGGTAAAATCAGGGTTGTTATTGTTGGTCACCTGGTATTGTTGGTAGTTGTAGAGGTTGCTGTAGTAGGTGGGGTAGCGTGAAGGCTGATAGAAGTTGTAATAAGAGGTTTCCAGCAGCAGGTCTGAAGATCCCTCAGTATGAGCTCGGGAAGCAGCTGACGGGCTGGGGGTTGAAGCCGAGCGACTCCCTGGGGGGAAAAAACATAGGAGATAAATTAAAACAGTTTGGTACAGATGACATGGTTTGATGTTTTTGGCTAGATGTGTGGATTAACACTGAATCTGAAAAACAATCTCAGGACTGCATTGATGTACTCCAGACCTTTATGTTTAAATGTAATGTTTGCTAATGCAGAAAAAAATGAACCAAGAACAGAAAGAATGAGCTCTACTAAGTGTATTGATCATTTAAAAGGAAAGGAAGATCACTTTAACTTAACAAGATTTGTCTAGGCATTCATTATCAGTAAACTCAAATTGCTATCAACAGCACCATCTACAGGTGACAAGTGTTATTGATGTCAAATTAGAAGATCAAAGACAACACAGAATCAGAATGCAGTTTTAATGTGGGATGAAAACAACTATCAAATCATACTTATTATCTGTTGTTCTTTTCTTATCAACAAGGCCACATTCTTCTCAGGCAGACCCTGATCTTTTGGTCTTTTACAATGAAGACAATGTGCACCAGTGAAGCCATTGAAGATAATGACATTTCTTGTCCCTGTTCTGATCCTTGTCATCAGTGAGTCACAGAGTGCTCGACTCCTTTTTCTTCACTCTTGCCAAAGACCCAAAGTTCAATCTCACAAGAGTGCAAAGCAGAATACAAGCAAAGACGTAAGCAACCTTGACCATGGTCAACTTTTAATATGTGCTATCAGGCTGGCAGGGAACACGATATCTTTGTCTGCCTCCACACCATGCCCTTGTTGGTGCCACCATATCAGCTTTAATTTTCACTCATTTCCCACAAAATTGTTTTGCTCACAACATAAATCAAAGCAGTATGATTTCAATTAATTTCATTTGAATTATTTTTATTTGAACATATGTTCAGATTTAATAATTTCAGTGATTTTTAAATTTTCTTTTCTTTCCTCTGTCATGATGCTTTTGATGTCTTGTGTGGAGCACTTTGAATTGCCTTGTTGTTGAAATGTGCTATATAAATAAACTTGCCTTGCCTTGTCTACGCTGTTGTATGTCATTACAGTTCTTGTTTTAGCCCTACATGTAATCTATTATCACACAAGTAAAATCAAAGTCACATTTGAGATGCTTAAATACATTTTTTGGTAATTTTTCTTAAAGCATTCCTTAATTAGATCAGATTTTGCTTCAATACATGCGTACCTATACCTGTTGATCCTTAATTTGTTTTATCCATGTATGCTTCCATTATTGAGGCATCCTAGACTTCTTTGATGATTTCAGATATGCAACTCTACCATTGTATGAGACTCTGCAACATTTTAAATTAGGTTTCTTTTTCGATGTGTTCCATAGGATTCAGGGAGCCAAAATATTAGAAAATAAAACTTTGTTTTTTGTTGTTAAATGAACTAAAACTTCTAGTCGACTGCAAATCAGCTGTTAGTTACAATTGGTAATGTGATGCAGGGTAGTTAAGGGGGAGGAAGGCTTAGTGAGACACAGCTGGTAATACTGAACCTGTGACAGCCAGAGTGGAGGTGCTGCTGGGAGTTGGGGATCGTGCCTCCACAGAGAACAAGCAGTCCTGTCCTGCTTCATTCTTCACCATCACCTCAGAGCCGGACAGAGCTACTGGACTACAAATCCCAAGCTCCTCCTCCTGAGCCTGCTGCCGTCTCAGGGCAACCTGGAGGGAACAAACGGGAATAAAATATTTCCCTTTGTCTATTGACTTTGCAAAGAATATTACAAAAAAAACAATAAATTATTATAATTTAATTATTACACTTCTATTGATCAATAAGACTGTTGTCTAGTCTGCTACATTAACTTCTTGTATTTTTTCTCCAAATAAAATTAAGTTTCTCCTCTTACTTAAAATACAAAGCTGTATGCCTACTTCACGTTAAAGCAAGGTCATCAACAACTGTACCATGATTGAACAACTGCGGCAAAAAAAAGGCCTCTTAAATACAAGATATTTTCTATTTGAATTATTCTTAATAACCCACCAATTGAAATTATTTTGGTTTCTGACTTTTTAGCAAATTTTAGAAAAAAATAAATGTGAAAAATGTGGTTCTTGAAGATTATGATGAACATTTTTCGGACATATTCTAGACCGAACTATTTATTAGTACGAGAAAGTGACTATAATCCATAGTTAAATCCTTGTTTCACTTAAATCTCTCTCAATTCAATTCAAATGATCTTAATAGACGTGACAGATCTGCAATCTCTAGTGCCAAAGCAGTACAGAAAAGAACAACAAATGATTAGTCAAATATACAGAATACAAATCAACAATTTAATAAAATACATAACTATGAATGTTTCTCTCTCTCTCTCTATTAAGATACTTTAAAGTTCAACAGTTTATAAAGTTATACAACTTACAATTAGTGTAGCCCAACCGAATCAATACAAATAGGCCTAATTAAGTAAGTAAGTGTATCTTTCAGAAATAGGTGTACAAACCTCGCAAATTTTACTTAATGCTGCAAATCACAAAGATTTCAACACAGTTCAACACATCTTTGAATAGAAAGTAGCTGCTCTTGTTTACCTGTCAATTTGTAAACTTTCAGCTGTTATCAACAAGTGTAGCAACATATTAAAAACATTTATTAACAGTGTAATGGTCTTCTCAGACTGTTAAACTGTTACTGAATGTTTCTTTGATGTGTTTATGAAAAAGATAACTATCAACAAAACACACTTTGTGGTGGAAAAACAGGGAAACGATGGGTAAGCTAGCCGAGCTCTACAATAAGCTAGGTTAGCTAGGTTCAAATTAACCTTGGTGAAGATAGAGAATTAAAATCAAGTGGGAAAAGATTTGAAACATGTCCAACTTATCAAAATGTGAAACAAACATGAATAAAAAATATATTCAATAACGTTTACAGTTTCTATTTCACCTTTGACATCGCAGATACAATGTATTTAAGAAACCTTAACAGGTGAATGTTAATTTGAGTTGAACTCTGCGCCTCACGGTTACCTGGGCCGCCATGACTCTCTGCCTTTCTGCTATCAGTTTACATTTAGGACATTGGCAGTCCCTCCAGTTGCAGAAGCGTTTGTGTCCCTTCAGAGGGGACACATATCCGTGGTTCCTACAGCGGGAGCATTTGGGCATCCTGGTAGGTTTCTGGCCTTTGGATGGGGAAAGAGGTTCGGTGGACCCAGTCCCCTGGCTCTGCTTGTCCTTGTTCATGACTGCAATGCAACAACAACAAAAAGTTAAATAAATCTATCCCTAACTGTGCGACCTGCCTAGTGGTCTGCCTTTGGGTACTATTTTGGAGTTTTTCCCAGCAGGGCAAGCTCAGCTGGTTAGAGTCTGTACTGGTGCCAGTCCCTCCCGCCTTGCTGATGCTGTGGTGTGGGAGTCTATGGTGGGAGGGGGAGAGCTGGGAGGACAGTGGGGGGGCAGTGGATGGCCCCTCACTACAAGTCTGTCTCTCATTCATACGTATTCTAATAACATTTACAAAAAAAAAAAGAAAAAAAAAGCTATTTCTCATTGGAAAGTTAAATTAAAGTGTGGAGGCTGTGGTCTTCCGGGCCGGCGGACCAGGTTCGGGTCCGGCCTGTGGCTCCTTTCCCGCGTGTCGTTCCCTTCTCTCTCTCTCTCTCTCTCTCTCCCTGATTTCCAGCTCTGTCCACTGTTCTGTCTCTCAATTGGGGGCACAAAAATAAATCTTTCCATGAAGTTTATAACAGAAACAAAAAAGTAGGCTCCAATCAGCTTCAGATTAATGTTGACTACTTTTCCATTCAGTGTTGGATCAATTATTAAAACAGAGCTGAACTTCTTCATAACCCTTTTTCTTCAGTGTCAGTGGAAGAGACCAAACACACTCATTGTACTTATGGGTTGATTCTCAATTGAAAAACTGAAGTAGGCCTATATAGGCCTAACCAACAACATAGCTATAATTATAAACATTTAGGCCTACATATTTACCTGCAGAGTTGGTCACAGAGGGTAAGAAGAAAAAACAATCTAAAACAAACTACTCAAATTAAAACATAACAAGTTAGACTGATGACCAAACCTCCTTGAAACACTAAACTACTGATCATTCAAGATTATGGTAGACTTACCGACCATGAGGTGATGGTGAACAGATGCAGTCCATCAAAATTAATTTATTGGTTATATTTGACTTCATTGAACCAAAATGTTTGTATACGACCTCCACACATACACCTGCTGGTTATGATTTCAAGCAACCAAAGAGGAAGTGAGGACATCCAATGGGCTTTTCAGAGGAGCTGCAGACCGTACCATTACAGGGGGGATGAGGGGGTTAGTTGTTTTAGGGTACAGTAAGTAAAAATAAGTAAGTTAAATGAGCCTATATAACTTTTATTCTATTGTTTCATAATAAGGACAGCCAACAAATACAAAAAACACGACTTTGTCTTGATTTTCTTTGGAACAGTTTTTCTGATTGTGTTTATCAGAAAAAATATGAACAGAACAAGAAGGATCTCCCAGGTGCTGCAACAAAAGATTGGTGCTAGTTGCCTGTTTATGTTCAATACAAGTGAAAAAACATAAGTTACATTGCTGGAGAAAGGTCCAGCCTCTGATGTTCTTACAATCCCCCTTGACACCATTAGGACATCTTTTGGATCAAACTACAAGCCCCTCTTTGAAAAAAGGTCAATGCTGGTGTCTTGGCCCACCATCAGTTTTAATCTATTAGGAAATATCTAAAAAAAATATGTGCATTGTTTTTCTACATCAGTGGTTGTTTTTCCTTGTCAAAGCATCTCTGAGTATCTAGAAAAGCACAATATAAGACATATTTATTATTATTGCTATACCTACAATTAATTAATATGATATTTGCAGATGTTACATTTACATTAATATATGAATTACCTTGATCTCAGATCCTCTTTTCTCTAGTGTGTTGGGTGTTGTGGTGATGGTGCCAGTACAGTATGCCCAGGAGGTCTATCAAGGATTCATAATCTTAGTTGAATCATGTTGCATCTATCTAATAGAACCCCCATAAGATTTTATACAGCTTTATTGCATGACAGATAACTAAGGTAAATTAAACTGTCTCACCATATAGATACTTTTCAAATTAGTTAGAGATGAAAATATGCTTATTAGTCCCCCTAAATACCCCTGTACCTCCTTACCTCATTGGATTGTGTCTATATAGTGCTCAGTGTAGCCAATGATATTCCCCTTGGCTTGTAATGAGGTCTTAATATCCTTCTAAAATATATTTACTGTTGCTCATTTTTCATAACCCCTGATATGTGTGAGTTAATACTCTCCTATTAATTTAAAGGCTTGACTGAGCTGAAACTGAATTAACCTGCACACAGGTCAATCAAGTCAAGTGGATTTATAGGCAGGGAGTAGAGTGAGGTGAAAAACACAGGCGCAGACAATTAAAATCCCTGCAGCCAAATAGATGGGCAATGAAAAGTTACCAATTATAAAGCTGATCTTTACACAGTGCTGGTACATCGCTTAAGATAAATAACTGCTACACTTCATTGGCCTGAGGTCCTGGTCCTGCAGACTGAGTCAGTCTAAATCAGCATTGCAATGTTGCCTTTAATTGCATTCAAGGTCATAATTAGAGATTATAATTGAGTAATGTAGTCTGTGATTTAATACATTTAACCTTTCTATGAGGATGATTGCTCTCTTGGACACCCAGTATACTATAGAGGTCAGCACCCAAAGAGTAGGGGTTCTTTTGATAGAACATGCAGATATTAAATTGGCAAAATACAAATTATGGAAACAAAAAAAAGACACAAATTGTGACATTTCCTTCATGCACAGTATATCGTGCACCATGGCATGCTGTTCATGCAACACTGGCTTTGACCACATAGGGGTCCTTCTGAGTTTGAAATCATCAGAGGGTTGGAAAATGATTTGATTTCAAAATAGTTCATCAGTTGAGTAAACCCTTTTGAAAAATAATTTCTTATAATAAGAACATTATTCTGAAGTTGATAATGTGATAAAACGTCATTACATAGTTATATTCAAGACTCAACCAAGAAAAAACTAGCTGGGGTTAAAACTACTGTTTAAATTGCCGCCAATGAAACACAAGTGCTGAAAATCCCTTTGAATTGAATTTGATTGTTGTATGAAAGGTGCTATGAAGCTTGACTGATTGTTTGATTGAGTGATTGAGTGATTGACTAATTGACTGATAATGTTTCTTAAAGGAAGTAATTTTGAAACTTTTTATTATCTATTTATTACCTTTGTAATTTTTTAATTTCTTAACAGCAAATAAAATGTATGAATATAAATAAATGTAATGAACCATTCACGAATATAACACGTGGTTTCAATCATAGACTTCAATCTATGGTTTCAATCGTGTCTCGCCATAGCTGTGATACCTTTAAATCTGTCAGATTTCTCACTCCTTTGAGCGAATGTTAGATAAAACCCCAAAACTGTCACGTGACGTGTTCTCAAAAACATTTATTTGACTGACTGAAAAAAAAATACAAATACCGACCAGAACATTTTATTTTTTTTCCATCTTGTTGCAATTTTAAGTTGAGAGAAGTAAGATTAAAACATTTCTCTCCTTAAGTCCCTGAACGCAACATTGCCTAGCAACAGCGTAGTTTTGTTCTAGCTCTCGGAGTAAACTTTTGCCACTTTTCTCAGACGAAATGCCCAAAAAGAAAGACAAGAAAGGCGCCGACAAACAAGATGACAACAAGAAAACACCAAAAAAGGGGACTGCCGATACTCCTGGAGACAAAACTGCCTCTGACAACAGAGAAAAGGAATTATATTTGATTCAAATACGGTATTTGAACGAGCAATTGGAGGGGTGAGTCTGTTTTAATGAAGACGAAAAGCGCCTTACTTTAAAGGAAAAGAGACCGATAGTTAAAACTACTTGGTGTGCTATTAAATTAAGAAAGAACATTTAGCAAAACCTTCTTGTCAATCGGAAATTACATGTACGTCATGTCGTAACCATAGACTGTACGTAATTTACCATGTGCTCGTATAATGCAAGCTATTGGCGATAAGGCTATCACTTTGATTTAATACATTTCACTGTTTAAAAACAGGATGAGATATTTCTATCTTCATAGGGGTCACTAAGATTAACACAAAATGAAATCTTCTTACAGAAGCTTTAAGTTAAACCAAATCTCTAGCTTTACCAGCTGCAGCATTCAAGTTATATGTACATAACGTGTTCCCAAACTAAGATTCAAATAATATATTTCCCCCTGAGATGTTCCACTTTTTCTTTTAATTCTTGAGATATTTGTGAAGTATTTTTGCTACTTTGCCTTGAGAAAATGTTTTAATCCTGTTCTTAAGACAGATATGTTCAACTGCTCTGCACTAAAACAAATGCAGTGGTCACTGTTCAATCTATTTATTTAAATGTAAATTCATATTTAAAGATCAACTTCAAATATAGGCATCTAGTACTGCCACTATTTTGAAGTGAAAGAAAGTGCACTCCAGACCAGCTTCAGTCACAAACCTAGAGATTGTGATGACAACAACTTCGAGTTTCATGTGAACCAAAGTATCTTTCTGAAAGTAGCGCTTGCTCCAAAGTCATGTGATAATTAATGATGGGATAAACAGAATCCAACCTGCTTCATGTCCAGAAGATGATACACATAACCCTGGTGTTCAAGCAGTACTTCAAGAATCATTTTAAGATTTTGTCGATTAAGCTTTCATGTCTCTTTCGCACCCAGATATCAGCTGAAATGTGATCAACTAGAGGCAGAAAAGCAGAGCTTGAGCTCTCAGCACATCTCACTGGAGAAGGAGAAGAAAGACAGTGTTGAGTATTTGAAACGCACTCTGCGGGAGAAGGAGGAAAAGGTGGACGATCTGACAGAGCGCCTGGTGGGCCAGCAAGAGGCTGCAGATCAGGACAGAGACACCCTGCAGCTGCAGATCAGTCAGCTGAGGAAAGAGCTCCTAGACCAGATCAAAGAACTCACTACTGAAAACATGACACTTGGTGAGACTGAAACTGGCAATATATTTTGCATTTATTGCATCTCCAATAGCTTCAATAGGGTGAAATATAATAGAATTATTTTGCACAATGAGAGAGAAATTACATTGACACATATTAAATTTATTTTGTACATAGACAGTTTGTAAATGAGACAGAAATGACAAGGATTGTTTGGTGTGCAAATATGACAACAGTGTCGTGTTTTCCACCTCACTAGATCTGTTACTTCAGCACATTATTAACTACAGGACATCTTTCTCATATTTTCAACCCCTTCACTGCAGAAACAAAAGACGTTTGAATTAAATCTCAGTGAGATTCGTTTCACCATTTGGGGTTAACTCTGGCATCCTCTCTCTCCTCTGTCCTCTACTCAAAGCTGGCAGGCTGGATAGTCTGACTGAGTTTCAGAAGCAGAAGGAGCAGCTGATGTCCACCGTGGAGTCTATGGAGAAGCAGCTTACGAGCCAGGAGGAGGAACACAAAGCTGACATCCACAGCCTGGAGATGAAAGTGCTGCTAGAGAAGAGGAGGTTTTGATAGCAAACATTACTACTAAAAGCATTACATCAGATTTAATCATTTGAAATCGATTAAACAGACTCTCCTTAATATGAAAAAAAAAAATGTTGTCATAAAGGTGTGGAGCATATAGTCCACCTATATATCTATAACCAATAAGGTGGTCAAAATGATATTACTACCCGAAGGAACTCATCATGCTGCTCATTTTAACAGTATTTTTCAACAGTAATGTAATGTGATTAAACACTGGCAACCAATTATTCTGCAGACCACAGTCTACTCAGATGCGTGTGTTATAAACTATGCTGCATGAAAAACTACATGGTGATACAATTTGAAGATGTAGTTTGTACCAGAAAACATATGCAGCAATAACAATAAATGGGCATGACAGGCCGATGTCCGCAGATCCAGCTTTTTGTTCCTTTAATAGAGAGACAGGACAGTCGACAGAGCTGGAAATCAGGGAGAGAGAGAGAGAGAGTAGGGAATGACATGCGGGAAAGGAGCCACAGGCTAAATTCAAACCTGGGCCACCTGCTTCGAGGACCACAGCCTCCATATATGGGGCGTGCGCACTAACCACTGCACCACCAGCGCCCCCATCCAGTGATTTATTGGTCAGGCTTTAGCGATAGTCATTCCAAGTCTTATAAAATGAATTGTAAAAAGCCAGGGTTTATTCATATAACTGATTTTGCCTTTAAGCATTAATGATATAAGATGCCTAAATCAACTACCCATGGTTCCCCTCTCATCTGCCTCTATCCTGTTCCCTGAAACAAGGTTAGAGAAGGAGATGGAGAGCCACGTTGCAGCCATAGGGGCAGATGTGCAGCACAGAGTGAACCAGAAGGTCCCAGAGACGACCAGGTTGGCCATTCAGGAGAATATGGAGCTGAAGGCCCAGATGGGTCAGCTGTCTGTGCACACACATATTGTGATGGAGGAGAACTCTACTCTGCAGCAACGAAAGAGTACGCTAAGTATGGATGTGGAGAATCTGGAGCAAATGCTCAAGGAGACATCCCGCCAGAGCTGCATCCTCAAGAGGGTAAGAAAGAGGTCTATCTAATCATTGCTTTGGCCACTGTATGATCAGCTCATAGAGGATATGAACATTGTATGTTTACATATGCCTAGAGTGAAAGCGTTAGCATTTTTTTCACTTATTATATTTCATCAGCTTTCTTTTTTTTGTCATCACATCATGAACATAACATAATCCCCCACCAAGCCTAGTTTTTACTTCTTAAATGCAAATAGTCACCAAAACGTTGTGTCCATCAGGTGGTGCAGCAGCTCACAGAAAAGTGTCAGCAGCAGCAAACCGAGCTGAAAGAGCGCAGCCATGAACTCAAGCAGCTTCAGAATGAACACGCGGGAGTCCA